AGAATAAAACAGATGGGGCCTCAATTGTGAATTGCGTAATCTTAATTTCTCTCGACATCCCTACGTTTTGGGAGCAAAAAATAGAATGGACTATTTTGAAATTTATTGAACATGACATATTTTCCCACTTATTTTTTTATTTGTCTTTCTAATTAAAAAAGGGTTTTGATTTTTGATTTTTAATCAAATTTTAATTATCCCACTCAATTTTGAATTAAAAATTCATGGAGTTTTGATTTGTCAAATCCTTTCTGATATGTCTTTTTGGCATCACAGATTTTCTCTTAAAAGAATACTAGTAATGTGCATATGCTTTGCATGTCCCAATTTTTTATGATGATAATGATAGTATAATATGTTTTCAAAAATTTCAATAACTTTTTTACATTTATATCTCTATAAAAAATATTCTTATTTGTCACACTTGTTGTCGTTTGATAGATGAATATAGGATATTAGAGATGTGCCCAAATGTTTTTCTATGAATTTTTTTTGTATTTTTTATGCTTTTGTGCGGTTTAATTTTTTTTTAATTTTGTATTATTATTTAACAATGACATCAAGGATTAACACATTTTGACTCAAAAGTTTGAATTGATAACTTACCATCAAACAATAAAACAATTCCATTTTTGGGTTGGTTTTAAATTTGTATTTTATTTTTATCATCAATCGTGGTAATTATTTTTTGTCATACTTATTTTTCTTTAATATGGCTATTTAATATAGGATTCCATGAATGTTAATTAAAGGTCATACCTTAAATATAAGACTGAGAGAAATTTGAATTGGGAGAAAAGTGGTTGTTCAAATTACATTTTTGTCCTTACAATTAGAGAATGGCCAAATTCAAAAATTTGGGTATTTTTGTCAAACAAAAGGTTCACACTCCCATTCACATTTTTAATCGTAGTATAGATTTAATTATGACAATAAGTGTTGACACATTTAACCCAAAAGATTAAGTTGTTGACCCACCACTAAAGCAAGAAAATAACTCCATTTTTGGGTAGTTATCAAAAAAAAAAAAAAAAAAACTCCATTTTGGGGTTAGTTTTAAATTTGTATACCACCTAGTGGGTGGTTCAGTTGGTACATTGGCTCATTCGTTCCAAGAGAGACTTGGGATTGATTCCAATGGTCACTAGGGTCGGTAATGGGTATGGGGGATTGATTGCCCCTTGTTGTGTGGCTCAATGAACCAAAGAAAAAAAATTGTATTTTATTTATATCATCAATAAAAATAATTATTATTTGTTACAATTATTTTTCTTTAATATGATTATTTAATATAGGATTCAATGAAAGAACGGGAATTAATACCCTAAATATAAGACTTAATGAGAAAAAATTGAATGAAAAGAAATGTAGTAGTTCAAATTGCATTTAGTCCCCTCACAATTAGAGAGGGACCAATTTGAAAAATAGGAGTATTATAGTCAATAATAAGATTCCAAAAATGTTATAGAAAGTTAATACCTTAAATTTAAGACTTAAATATTTGAGTGGGAAGAAAAGTAGTTACTCAAATTATATTTTTGTCCTTAGAGAGGGACACCAAATTCAAAAAATGAGATATTTCAATCAAACAAAAATTGCACTTATTCACACTTTCAATATAGTAGTATGAATGCAATGTAATCAATCCTTTGCTCTACACTTATGCTAGCGTGTCATGCACAAAAACGTTCCCAACATCTCTGGCTGTTTACCCACACCCACTTCTCCCACCATAAGGTAAAACCAAAGCCTCTGAGGTATTTCTATGGCCCTACTTTACCTATTTCATAACAAAAATGGATTGCGTTTGAGGAGGTGCGGATTCAAACACGCAACCGCAAAATGTCTGGCTCTCCTCAAAACAAGATGACATGCCTGGGTGGGAAGCAACACAAACAGCAGGAAAAATGAAATAGGAAGGAAGGGACATTGAAGAAAAAAAGGTGAGACGTGAGAAAGCAAAAAGGAATTATAGCTTATAAGATGAGAGTGCTTAAGAGTGTTGATTATTTAATGGTGACCCAGCAAGGAATATCGCTAGCTATTTCAAATCAAAACTAGGACAAAAACCTTGACAGCTCAGACTTTATCATTATTGACAAATACGAATCAGTGCCTTTTCAAATCTCCCAAGTATCTTTGATATAAATAAACCAATTAAGAGATGGACGTGGATGGATTCCCCTGTGGCTACCATCCTTTCGATGTCTAATAATAACTCTTAGAAAAATGGAAAACAAGACCTCGCAATTTTGAAGGTGGGACCTGGGACGCGTAGCTATCGCCATCCTACACATCCTTGTTGAAAACTTGGGAATGCATTTTCAGTTTAACCGACCTGCACCTGCAGAATACGACTATTTGTCTTTTTCCTGGAATGATTGGCGTTAGACGGAATTAACCTCATCCATTAACCATAATCAACAAAGAGCACATGTGGATCACGGTCAAGACGCGTGTGCCTCTCTACCTCTAGGTCTTGGCACACAATGTGACAACCGTCTTGTACAAGTTACGTACGGAGTTCGGCTCAAAACCATGTTCACTCCCATCCACATCAATGCCGTGATTAGATTAGATTTTGATTCGTTGAAGGCCATAAGACCTCTTCCAGGTTACCATCAACAACCCAATTTTCTGTTATAGGATCCCAACATGAGAAGAAGGTTCAAAGCAAGGTTTTTAAAAACGAACCGGTCCCAGTCGAACAGTTCGACCCATGACATCGTAAATAAATTAAAAATAATAATATATTTATAAATAATAAAAATTAGTATAAAATTAAATAAAAAACAGAAAATAAAATTATCTAAATACAAAAGTTATACAGTACAAAAAATATAAAAATAAAATAGAGAAAAAATTCAAAAAATATAGAAAAATAAAGCTATCTAAATAATTAATACTTAAGGAAACCAACAGATTATTACATGACTGACATTGTTCGAGGGCCTTAGTAGAACACTAGATCATCTTATATCCATAAAATGAGAATCTGAGACTGAATTCAATTAGCTTTACTCTGGAAATCCTCATCATCATCTCTAACTCCAAAAACTGCATGAAAAAGAACTAAGAGGTAATCCAATGCCAAGTGACAAAAGAAGGTGAATCACAGCATGTGTGCGGATGAGCTCAACAATGGTCACGATGACCAAGATTCTAATGCCAAGGA